CTAATATCCGTGACCCCTTCCCCCCCCACCCCCACCCCCATAACTACCATAAATATAATGAAAATCCGTTCCCCCCTTCCCCCCCACCCCCACCCCCATAACCCTCCCCCCTTCCCCCCACCCCCACCCCATAACTACCATAAATACTAATGAAATCCGTGACCCCTTCCCCCCCCCCACCCCCACCCCATAACTACCATAAATACTAATGGAATCCGTGACCCCTTCCCCCCCACCCCCACCCCCATAACTACCATAAATACTAATGAATCCGTGACCCCTTCCCCCCCCCCCCCCACCCCATAACTACCATAAATACTAATGAAATCCGTTCCCCCCCCCCCCCCCCACCCCCATAACTCCCATAAATACTAATGGAATCCGTGACCCCTTCCCCCCCCCACCCCCATAACTACCATAAAAATACTATGAAATCCGTGACCCCTTCCCCCCCCCCCACCCCCACCCCCATAACTACCATAAATACTAATGGAATCCGACCCCTTCCCCCCCACCCCCCCACCCCCACCCCCATAACTACCATAAATACTAATGAAATCCATTTCCCTTCCCCCCCCCCCCCCACCCCCTTCAGGTGCAAGTGAAAATCTGGTTCCAAAACCGACGCGCCAAGTGGAAGCGAGTGAAGGCCGGTCTGGTCTCCGGGTCAGCCGCTGGGGGCAAGAACAGCACGACGGGTCACAAGATTATCGTCCCTATTCCTGTCCACGTGAACCGCCTGTCCAACCTGTCGCAGTCGCAGCAGATGGAGAAGTCCAGCACGCCAGGTGGGTGACAAGGGAGAGAGGGGAGGGGTGGAGAGAAAGAGAGAGAGAGAGAGAGGAAGGGGAGAGAGAGAGAGAGAGAGAAAGGGGTAGAGAGAGAAGAAGAGAGAGGAAGGGGTGGAGAGAAGAGAAGTGTGGAGAGAGAGAAAAAAGGGGTGGAGAGAGAAAGAGAGGGAGAGAGAGGAAGGGGTGGAGAGAAAGAGAGGGAGAGGAAGAGAGAGAGAGTGTGTACGCGTGTGTGTCCATCTGTCTATCCATCTATTAATATCTACACACATATATGTGTGTGCATGTCTGTGTGTGTGGACGAGAGGAGTAGATTAAATTTAAGCAAGAGGACAGCGAGATAAGAGTGAGAGAGATGGCATGAGATCGAACGAAGAAGAAGCAACCTCCTCTGACTCAGGTTCCTCTGTCCCATAGGAGTCCCTGCAGGAGGCACCGGCGGAGGCGGCAGCGGAGGATCCACGCAGCTTCCCACGATCAAGCCCATTGATCCCCAGTCCAGCAGCATCCAGTCTCGGCGTTCTGCCTTCCAGGGCCTCCCGCAGTCGCTCCCTCAGTCCTTATCCCAGGCCCTTCCTGTGTCCGTGCCCCAAAGCCTGCCGCAGTCCCTGCCTCAGTCCCTGTCGCAGTCCCTTCCTCAGTCCCTGCCGCAGTCGCTGCCTCGGCTCAGCCACGTCCCGTCCCTGGCCTTGTGAAGCCTGAGGCTGCGTGAGGCCGGACGCCCCCCGGACGTCACGGCGCGGCGGCGGTCGCGAGGCCTGGGCGCTCCTCCGCCAGCACTCCCTCTCGCGGCGGGCTGGCGTGTTGCTCGACGCGACGACGCCGGATGAGCGAACGAAATAAGCAATTCACTTATGCAAATAAACCTCGATCGGCGGCGGCCAAATGGGAGGGCGCGACGATCCATTCTGCTGAAGAGCGTCCTAAATCGACCGTAAAAATAATCGCCGAACATGGACTGCATAAAGCGTGAAGTATTGACGCGGCCTCCGTGCGCTCTCCGTGGCGGGACGCTTCGGGGATCTCGAACACGATTTCCTCATACGCCGAACCTCTTCCCTGAATCGCCGATGGATCGAACCCCTTTTATAGTTTGCCTAAATTAATCTTGAATGCGATACAAACCGGAAAAAAATAAACACCGGCTCTGACAAAGTAGAGATGAACCGTCCCGCCCCCCGTCGTCACATGGTTCACGTGTTCCTACTGACAGCGGAACCGACCTTCTCGTATATTTACAATTGGCTGGACGAACGAACGAACGAAATTAAAATCAAGTATATAGCTGCCGAGTTTACCAAAGAGAAAAATATTATCCTAGTGTACAATATTTTGTACTCCCATGATAACTGATAACATCGAAACGGTCCCATGAAAAAAAAATATTATCTAGTGTACAATATTTACACTCCCATGATACACTGATAAGATCGAAACAAAGTCCCATGAAAAAGGACTTTTAACTAAAAGGTCTTCTTAACTTTCGTCGTATGAAAGATAAAATAAAACGTCAGATATTCAGACATGCATTTTCTATTGAAGACCATGTGTTGCCAGCGAGTTGTCAAGGAAAATTTAAAAAACGAAATATATTATTTGTGTCATACTAAGTCCCACTGCAAACCGACCGTGGATTATTTGCATTTTGTTACGACAATATATAAAGTGTTTGCTAGAAGAGGGGAGTGTCTTTGAAAAAAAAGAGAAAATATTGAATGATATTTCTGAATTGTGTAAAAACGGAGCTAGTGCAAGAATAATGTGTAAATACTGTAATTGTTAACCCTGGAAAGTGAAGGTTCAGCAGTTGGTCACAGCTTTAAGTCTCGTATGCTCACACAGTTGTTGTAAATACCTTGTAGATACTGTCGACTGTATAACTAAAACGACGAATTAGCTAGTAAGTGTAGAAATTCCGGTGACACGTGACCACAACGATTCTATTGACAAATACGTGAAAGGAACTGGATCAAAAGTAGCGTAGGATATCTTCGGAATCAGGAAGAAAACTTAGGATATTTGTACATAAACAAGTCAAACAAGTCGCAGGTGATGTTTTTTTTTTTTTTTTTTTTTTTTTTTTTTTTTTTTTTTTTTGTCAAGAATAAGCTCACTTTCCCTTAGCAAAGTGTTATGGGAACACGTGGTCCACCTCGCCATTTTGTTTTGCTCTAAAATCCCAGTCTAAAAAAAGGACTAATTCGAGGAGGATGCAATACGAAATGACTCAACATTGCTAATGGGTGATATTTTTTTTCGAAATTCACCGTTATTGGTATAATTTTTTTTTTTATTATTATTATCATTTCCTTTTATTTTTTTTCGGTTAATTTCCCTTCCTTTGCTTCTATGAAACACTGTGTTGTGAGCGAAGGCAGTAGTATATGTGCATTTGTTGATTACCATATTGTGGTTTTATGTTTAATAAATGTTAAACAGCAAGAACTGACTTTAGTTTCATTTCTATGTAATTTATAAGGAGACAAGATGGTGAATTTAGTGTTGTTATTGTACCTTTGTTATACCATTTATGTCACACTGTATTTCTGAGGATGAATTGTGTGAGCCTCACTCTCGGCCTGTCCACCTTCACCCTTCCTAATTAACGATTATATATTCTCTGTTTTCTTTCCTTCTCTCAAATCTCTCTCATTCTCTAATACTTCTTCATATTCCTTTGTCATTCTAGAATCACTATCAAACGTCGCTTTTCTTTAGTCCCATCCACTCTCTCTCTCTTTTTTCTCTTTTTTTCTTTTTTAATTCTTCTACTCTAACTTTTCCCTTTCGTGATATTCATCTCTCTTGCCTCCTTACGATCTCTGCTTCTTCCACGCTTCCGCCCTTCTCTCTCCCTCCGTTTCTGCTTCCTTCTCCTTTCCTCTCGACTTCTTCGACCTCCTCTCTGCCTCATCTCTCTTTTCCCTCCCCCTTTCCCTGTCGATCTCCTCCTCTTCCCCACTTCCTTTCCCTCCCCCTTCCCCCTTTTCCCTTCATTCCCCTCCCCCTTCCCCATTCCTCCTTTCCCCCCCCCCCTTCTTCCCCCTCCCCCTTCCCCTTCTTCCCCCTTCCCCCTTCCCCCCCCCTTCCCCCCTTTCCCCATCCGACCTCCTCCTCTTCCCCTTCATTCCCCTCCCCTTTCCCTTCCCCATCAGCCATTCCCCATCCCCCCCCCTCCCGGCCTCCTCCCTCTCCCGCTTGTTCAGGAAAGCACACCCGATGTTCCTATGTATGGATCAGTATAGCGAACAATGACATTGGTTTAATCCACAGGGTAGCGTTTGTAGACCCCAGTTCATTGGAAATATTTATATATGAATATGTTACTAATAAAAAAGGAATATATGTGTATACGTCTTATCATTTATCCGATGTTAAGTTAAGAAAGTATGGGAAGTTTTGCTCGAAGTTGAGGGGGGTGTGAAGAAGAGAGAATTGGGAAAGGGGAGAAGGAAGTGGGAAGAATTGGGAAAGGAGGAGAAGGAATTCGGAAGAGAGAATTGGGAAAGGAGGGAGAAGGAAGTCGGAAGAGAAGAATTGGGAAAGGAGGGAGAAGGAAGAATTCAGAGAGAATTGGGAAAGGAGGGAGAAGGAATTCGGAAGAGAGAATTGGGAAAGGAGGGAGAAGAATTCGGAAGAGAGAATTGGGAAAGAGGGAGAAGGAAGAGAATTGGGAAAGGAGGGAGAAGGAAGTGGGAAGAGAGAATTGGGAAAGGAGGAGAAGGAATTCGGAAGAGAGAATTGGGGAAAAGGAGGGAGAAGGAATCTGAAAAGAGAATTGGGAAAGGAGGGAGAAGGAAGTGGAAGAAAGAATTGGGAAAGGAGGGAGAAGGAATTCGGAAGAGAAGGAAAGGAGGGAGAAGGAAGTGGGAACAAAGAATTGCGAAAGGAGGGAAAGGAATTCGGAAGAGAGAATTGGGAAAGGAGGGAGAGGAGTGGTGAAGAGGGAGGGAGGGAGGAGCTCAAGGAGGCCTAATGGGGGTTAGTTAATTTGTTTCTGTATTGGCTAGTTAATTTGTTTGTGTATGGGTTAATTGGTTAGCAGATTAACTCAAAAACCCATGAAGAGATTTTTATTATCTTTTTTTTACCAGAGGTGTGTAGATGCCATTAAATTTTGGCGGTGAAATCGGGTTTCAGGTTATGAACAGATTTTTACATAAAATTTACAAGAAGTGTGTCTTAGCCAAGGACTTTTAAAGGATTTTTATAGAGAAACTCGGACGTCACCAGTGTACTTGAGAAAGAGGTGATTTTAATGTAATTCTTAGTGTGAATATTTTTTTATTACATTAATAACCTTATTACATCAGTGATCCTATTACACTGGCGGAGGTATGCGCTCTCTGAGTGCTTCTAATTATCATTATCATCATTATGAAAATTATCATTATTATCATTATCATAATTATCATCATTATCATTATTATCATTATCATAATTAGCCTCATTATCATAACTATTGTTATTATCATCATTATCATTATTAGTAGTATTATCATTATTATCATAATTATTATCATCATCATCATCGGCGTCGTCGTCATCATCGTCATCATAATCATTATTATCATCATAATCATCATAATCATCATTATCATCATCATTATTATCATTATTATTATCATAGTTTATTATTGTAATTATTATCATCCACACTGTTTTGATCATGTTAATCACCATTATCATTATCATTATCATTGTCATCATCATTGTTATTACTATCATAATCATTGCTATCATTTCTACCTTTATCAATATCATCTTATATCATTATTATCATTATCAGTACCACTATTACTATCATCAGTATCATCAATAATATCATCATCATTGTTATTACCATCATCATTAGGTCTATCATTCATGTCATCATTATCATCATAATCATCATTATCATCATTATCATCATTAGTATTATTATCACTGACGCCAGTTCCTCCATCTCCATCGTCATCTGCAATTCTCATTCCGCAATGTAGTCAGACAAGTGAAATCTCTCTCTCTCTCTCTCTCTCTCTCTCTCTCTCTCTCTCTCTCTCTCTCTCTCTCTCTCCTCTCTCTCTCTCTCTCTCTCTCTCTATATAATAATTATATATATATATATATATATTATATATATATTGTTTGATCCATTACCTTCCTGTAATGATCTTTAAAAATATTTAAATATCATTTTGAGAAAATCACGTGACCATTGCCTGCAGGTAGTGATTTTTCATCCTTTGTGGAAGTGATTTCGGCTCTCTCTCTCTCTCTCTCTCTCTCTCTCTCTCTCTCTCTCTCTTCTCTCTCTCTCTCTCTCTCTGTCTCATCTCTCTCTCTCTCTCTTCTCTCTCTCTCTCTCTCTCCTCGTTCCTGCGTCCTCATGTCCTTATCTATATGTCTATCTATCTGTCTATCTATATATCTATATATCTATCTATCTGTCTGTCTGTCTGTCTGTCTGTCTGTCTGTCTGTCTGTCTGTCAGCACTTGAACTTGAGGGAGTCGATATATTCGAGTGATATATCAGTTCTCAGACACGAAGTTCACTGATGCTGCAAGATTTGCTGGTGCTGTCACACTAGCACTTTTTCCGTCAATTTTTTAACAATTTTATTTAACATAAAATACAAAAACATTCTCGAATTATAGCTCTTGATTTGACTATGCTTGGCTGAAAAAAGTTGACGGAAAGGTTTTCAGACGGAAACGATCATTATCGTCTGACTGGAAAATCGACAATTCGCTCAAAAATGGACAAAATTTCAGAAAATTGTAAAAAAAAAAAAAAAAAAAATGACGGAAAAAGTGCTAGTGTGACAGTACCTTAATAACAAGTATGTGTCTGTATTTCTGTAGAAACACATGTAAACACACAGCCTCACTCTTGTCACTTATCTCTTCCTTCTCTCACGCTCTCCACTCCTCTCTGTCTCCTCTTTATTTCTTACTCTCTCCACTCCTCGCTGTCTCCTCTTTTCTTCTTACTCTCTCCAAACTTCGCTGTCTCTTCTTTGCTTCTTACTCTCTCCACACTTCGCTGTCTCCTCTTTGCTTACGTTCTCCACACTTCGCTGTCTCCTCTTTCCTTCTTACTCTCTACACACTTCGCTGTTTCCTCTTTGCTTCTTACGTTCTCCACACTTCGCTGTCTCCTCTTTATTTCTTACGCTCTCCACACTTCGCTGTCTCCTTTATTACTTCTTACTCTCTCCACACTTCGCTGTCACTTCTTTCCTTCTTACTCTCTCCCCACTTCACTGTCTCCTCTCTACATCCCCCATTTCTCCCCCTTTTTCCTTCTTTTACTTCACTTCTCACGCCCGAAGAGATGAATTTCCCAAGGCCTAGCGACGCTCCCCACCCACGCCGTCACGCCCACTGCCTCCGCCCACCCATCACTACGCCCATTTCCCTCTCCTTCGCCACACCCACAAGACCGCATAACTCTGCCCTGGTTCCATTCATCACCGCCAGCGCACTGGGGTTGTGGCGTCGTGTTGTGAATGGAAAAGGGATCGTGGACACAATACATGTTGAAGACGAAGATCAAGGAGTGTTTTTGTTTAGTGAATAAATATAAGAGAAGATTATAATAATTGACATGCAAAACTATAACTTTATATATATATATATTATGTGTGTGTATGTGTGTGTGTGTGTGTGTGTGTGTGTGTGTGTGTGTGTGTGTGTGTGTGTGTGTGTGTGTGTGTGTGTGTGTGT